CCATAGCGAGGAGGAATAGGAAAATGAAGAAAAGAATGATAGGAAAGCTCCTGGCCCGAAGCCTGAAATCCCTTGAGGGAGCGTACGAGAAAGCCCCACCACTTCCGGGGCTATAGCAGCCCGAGATGAGAACGTCTGGGAAAGTTCCGCCTGCAGAAAAACACCGCCGCTCCTGGGGCTGTAAGAGCAGCCTGAAATGGACGCGTCCTGTACTTACCACTTTTAGGGATTGAGTGTGAGGATGTCTACAGCACCCTCACACGGGGCACCATCTGTCGCAACGGCGACGGTTGTCGGGACGGTGGAGTCAGTAACCAAACACCACTCTTACAGAGAAGTGGGGCCAGGAGGGTCACTCTGAGGGGTCGACCCCGGCTTCAGTCCCAGGAGTTTATTTATAGTCCATACAGCAAGCGGTAAAGCAAATAACAGAACAATGGGCTTTGGGTGCGGGCAAGGGAGAAGGAATTCAGGTAAACAAGCCAATCAGTAAAGGGACAATAGGTTTGGGAAAACAAGTCGTGACAAGTCTCAACATGTTGGGGACAAGTCTCAACATGCTGTGCAGCATAGAGGCCTGTGGGGGCTGCAGTTGTCAGTAGTGCAGCCATGTTTAAATGGCATATATCCCTACAACTTCCCCTATCTGGTTTGATATCTGGTTGCTCTGTCCTGTATTCTAGTCTTGGGTTGTTATCTAATGTAATTGATTTTCTAACCAGAGGACTCCTTTTAGTATGTCTTGTTAATTCTGGTTTGGTTTTTGTAAATTCCCTAAAGTTCTGTTTATCTGGAAATGCCCTAATTTTGCCATCGTATTTGAGAGACGATTTTGCTGGATATATAATTCTTGGCTAGCAATTTTTTTCCTTCAAGGCTTTATATATGTCATCCCATTGCCTTCTTGCCTGCATAGTTTCTACTGCGTAGTCTGAACTTAGTCTTATTGACTCTCCTTTGTAGATGAATTTTCATTTTTCCCTAGCTACTCTTAAAATTCTCTCTTTATCTTTAGTTTTGGCAAGTTTGATTAGAATGCTTCTTGGTGACTTTCTTTGGGATCTACCTTGTGTGGAGTTCGATGAACATCTTGGATAGATATCTTCTCATCTTTCATGATATAAGGGAAGTTTTCTGCCAACAAATCTTCAACAGTTCTTTCTGTATTTTCTGTTATCCCCCCCGTTCTGGTACTCCAATCACTCGTACGGTATTCCTCTTCATACAGTTCCACATAATTCTTAGGGTTTCTTCATTTTTTAAAATTCTTTTATCTGATTTTTCCTCAAATAAGTTGGTGTCAAGTGCTTTATCTTCAGTCTCACTAATTCTGACTTCCATTGCCTCATTGCTGCTCCTGTGACTTTATATTGAGTTGTCTAATTCTGAAATTTAATGTTAATCTTCTGGATTTCTGATTGCTGTCTCTGTATGACTTCTTGCAGCATATTAAATTTGTCATTATGCTCTTGAGTAACATTGTTAAGTTCCTCTGTTGCTTTGTCTGTGTGTTCCCTGGCTTGTTCTGCGTTTTGCCTGATCTCCTTATCTCTTGAAGAGTACTGTATGTTAATCTTTTGTATTCTTCCTCTGGTAATTCCAAGAAGTTCTCTTCCTCTAGAAGATTTCTTGATTCTTTGTTTTGGGAGCTTACTGAAGCCATCAATGTCTGCCTCTTTATGTGATTTGATATTGACTGTTGTCTCCAAGCTGTCAATAAGTTATTATATTTACTCATTTTATGTTTGCCTACTGTGTCCTAGCTTCTTGTTTTATTTTGTTTTGATATGCCCAAATAGGCTGCTCGTGTGAACTAGTTTGATTATTGGTGCCTTTGAATCGCTCATGTTCTGTCACCAGGTGGTTAGATCTGTCATTAGGTTTGTGAGCCCAGGAGTCTGTTTACTTTTCTTGTATGAATTCAGCTCAGGTGTCCAGGTAGTCGCTCACCAAGTCTGTGGTGTAGGCTCTCACCTACAGTCCTAGACAGGCATGGGTGGTTAGTGTAGGCACAGGTGTCTGGCTGCAGTAGTGGAGTCACATCCTGAGCAAGGCAGGGGATTGATGGCTGCTCCTGAGTAACTGGGAGGAAAGCATGTCCCTGTTCCCTAGAGTACGTAGGTGGGTGGGTTTTGCAGCTGGACTATGAGCACCCAATGCCGTTGACTGTAAGGACTGGGAGGCAGCACTTATTCTTGGAATCCTGTGGCTAGGTGGCGTGGGTAGAGCCACCAGTCCTCAGGCCCCTGATGTGGGTAGGTGAGGAGCCTGCTTAATGACAGAGTGGTGTCAAATGTCACGAACCTGCCACTCTACCATATAGCTGATACAGTTGAAGTTATGCTTGAGGTATATACCCTGTTGTACTGTGGTAATGAGGGCCTACGTTGTTGAAATGAGCCCACACAGGTTTATGCAGGGGTGAACGGCATTCAGCGTCTGTGGACCCCTTATGCCTATGCCTAGGCAGAGGAGCTGTGCCTACCCTGAGTTCCTGGCTTAGGAGAGCCGCCAGATTATTTTTTCCTGTTTGTTAATTTGTTCCCTCTCCAAGGCCAGGAGAATGGCTCAGGGCACGTGACAGGTTCTACTTCTGGCCCAGGGGACTCAGCAATCACTGAAGCTGGCCTGGGACCCAGTGCAGAGCGGGGAGGGGCAGGTAAATGAGACAACCCCCAAAGGGGGTTGTCTTAGTCATCTAGTGCTGCTTTAACAGAAATACCACAAGTGGATGGCTTTTAACAAAGAGATAATTTATTGTCTTACAGTCTAGTAGGCTGCAAGTCCAAATTCAAGGCATCAGCCCTAGGGGAAGGCTTTCTCTCTCTTTCAGCTCTGGAAAGGTTCTTGTGATGCATCAGCCTTCCCTTGGTCTGGGAGCATCTCAGCGCAGGAACCTCAGTTCCAAACGACCTGCTTTGCTTCCAGCACTGCTTTCTTCATAGTGTGAGGTCCTCATGTGACTCTGCTTGCTTCTTTCTTTTATATCTCAAAAGAGATTGGCTTAAGACACTATCCAGTTTGGTAGACCTCATCGTTATAACCTCATCATAGTGATAGAGTTTACAACACATAAGGAAATCATATCAGATTACAAAATGGTACAGAATTATACAATACTGGGAATCATGACCTGGCCAAGTTGATGGATATTTTTTGGGGACACAGTTCAATCCATGACAGGGGTGTTTTTTGATCTGCATGGTAGGTCAGATGCAAGTACTTATTTTTCGCTGACTGAACACTGCTTTTCACTGGTTCTGGATGCCCTAGTAGACTCTCTGCCACTGGGTCTCTCCTGATGTGGAAAACGCCTCCCGAACACCACTGCCTAGCCATGGTGTTTTCAGTTGCCTCAGATGTATGTGAAAGCTGGACAATGAATAAGGAAGACCAAAGGAGAATTGATGCCTTTGAATTATGATGTTGGCAAAGAATATTGAATACACCATGGACTGCCAGAAGAACCAACAAATTTTTCTTGGTAAGAGTACACCCAGAATGCGCCTTAGAAGCGAGGATGGTGAGACTTTGTCTCGTGTACTTTGGACGTGTTATTAGGATGGACCAGTCCCTGGAGAAGGACATCATGCTTGGTAAAGTAGAGGGTCAGCCAAAAAGAGGAAGATCCTCAAAGAGATGGGTTGACACAGTGGCTGTAATAATGGGCTCAGACATAGCAATGATTGTGAGGATGACGCAGGACCAGGCGGTGTTTCCTTCTGTTGTACTTAGGGTTGCCATGAGTTGGAACTGACTCGACAGTACCTAACAATAACAACAGGAACAATTACATATTTTTAGGAAAGAGTCTAAATATAAAGTTACAATAACATGGCAGCATTTTGGAGAGGGACTATAGGAAGATGTCCACTTTAATTAGTCAAAAATGATCTGTCATGTTTAAATGTATACATAGTATGTTCTGTGATAATCATATTTTTGTATATTGTCATGGATTGAATTGTGTCCCCCAGAAAATGTGTGTAGCAACTTGGCTAGGTCTTGATTCCCAGTATTGTATGATTGTGTAATCTGATGTGATTTCCTTATGTGTTGTAAACTCTATCACTATGATGTTATATGTGATCTCCTTATGTGTTGTAAATTCTATCACTGTGATGGGGTTATGCTGATGAGGTTTACAAGATTAGATAGTGTCTTAATCCAATTTCTTTTGAGATGTAAAAGAGAGAAGTGAGCGGAGACACATGGGAACCTCATACCACCAAGAAGGCAGTGGCAGGAGCAGAGCGCATCCTTTGGACCTGAGGTTCCTGCACTGAGATGCTTCCAGGCCAAAAGAAGACTGATGCATCACAGGGACCTTCCTCCACAGCCGACAGAGAGAGAAAGCCTTCTTCTGGAGCTGACATCCTGAATTTGGACTTGTAATCTACAGGCCTGTGAGAGAATAAACTTCTTGTTAAGCCATCCACTTGTGGTATTTCTGTTAGAGCAGCACTAGATGCCTAAGACATATATGATCTTAAATTCTGGGGAAATTTAGTCATATTTATTATAGTGTTTTAGTCTCATGATTCTGATACACACTGATTTATATTGATTTATAGACTCATAAAAAGGAAATGTGTATGACCAAAAAAATTATAAAGAATCAGTTCCACACACATTAGATTAAAAATCACATAAAAAAATGTAGAGTGGTAGTGAAAAAACTTGTTTTTAATTAAAAGGAAGGATCATTTAAACAATGATTTTATACAGTTTTAAAATTCACTGGGGCCACTTTTCTGAAAAGATATATTTGAATAGCAGCCGAATAAGCTTCTTTACATATCTAGTGTGAGTGCTAACCTGTAGTTTGGAAAGACTGCTTTAACTTAGTGGGGAAAAAATTATTGTAGCTTTTCAATCTTTAGCCTCTGCTGAAGCAGTTAAAAAAGGGTTTTGATTGTTTGAGCTTAGTAAAAAAAAAAAAAAAAAAAACAGCTGTTCAGCAAGAGTGAGACTCAAGCAAAACAGATATATTAACAACTTATACTTTATGACATGAGGAACTCTGACTCATTTCTAACTTTTACTTATAATCAACAATGAGAGGTTCTGTTTAAGATGAGATGAGAATTGAAATTAGCCTTTTCTACTGAGAGTTTACCTGCCTTCTGTTTTCATCTTTAATCAGGATTTAGTATGATAGCTTAAGTCTGAAAACATAGGCAGTTTACATGTCTAAGGTTTTTCATTTGTGAAATAAGAACTATTTTTGCCACTCTTGGTTAATATGCTGCAGTTGTCGTTATTTCCATTTTTGACCTTATTTTCAGCCATCTCATACTAGCAAGTTGTCTTAGTCATCTAATGCTACTGTAACAGAAATACCATAAGTGGATGGGTTTAACGAAGATAAATTTATTTCTTCACAGTAAAGTAGGCTAAAAATCCAAATTCAGGGTGTCAGCTCCAGCAGAAGGCTTTTTTCTCTGTTGGCCTTCTCATCAGTCTTCCCCTGGACCCCGGGTCCAAAGGACACGCTTTACTCTTGGCGCTGCTTTCTTGGGGGTATGAGGTCCCCCATTCTCTGCTTGCTTCCCTTTCTTTTTAGCTCTTGTAAGATAAAAGGTGGTACAGGCCACACCCCAGGGAAACTCTGTTTACATTGGATCAGGGATGTGAACTTAGTAAGGGTGTTGTTACAATCCCACCCTAATCCTCTTTAGCATAAAATTACAATCACAAAATGGAGGACAACCACACAATACTGGGAAGCATGGCCTAACCAAGTTGACACATATTTTTTGGGGGACAGGATTAAACCCATGACAGAACTTCTGCCTCTACTAGTCTATAAATTTGGTAGAGGACCAAAGGCTATTACAACTTGAAAAGTACATATAAAAATGTTGCTTGTATTATATTTTCATTTTTAATGAGTTGAGAACATTCTTGCTTGAATAAAGAAACAGTAATTATTAAGTGATTTTTCATTATGGTACTTTATGATGATTTGAGTTGAGATGGATATCTTTTTAATATAGCATAGTTCCTAATTTTGTAATCAAGCCTTAAGTGTTTGTATTATAGTATGTGACATCCTTCAGTGAATCCCAGTCCTTAATAATTTAAAAAAAATTCAACCAAATATTAATTAGTGTTTTGATGTTCAGTCATCTTGCTAGTAGCACAGTGCTGTTAATTGGATAAACTATGGCTATTGAGTGAAATTTTATGTTTCAACTAACATTTTGAATAGTTTAGTAAACCTCAAGTAACTGGAAAGCTTAGGGAATGGAGTGTTTTTACTTAGTTCAGTTTTGTTATTAAGTAAGGGTTTGTTTGGAATTTAAAATAATCCAAAATATATTAGTATGCTTTCTAAATCAAGTTTAATTTTTCTTTAATTTTGTATTTCTCAATATATGTCAGCATCATCAAAGTTAGAAAGACTATTTCTCTGATTGCTCCTTTTCAGTCTTTCTATTCTAGTTCTGCATCCTCTCCCTGAGTGATCCAATGTGTTCTGTTAGTGTCTATATAATGGTGATTTAGAGTCAATATCTGCAGACCAGATCTCTCTTTCCTTCTGAATTCCAGACCCACGTCAAAATGCCTACTAGACCCTTTCATCTGTGTGCTCTACAGCCATGTCAAACTCAGTGTAGCTCAACTAAACCCATTTATTTTCCCAAATCTACTCTTCCTCCCAGGATCTCTGTCTGGTCAATACACCATCACTTAAGGCCCAAAGCTGTGAGTCTTTCTGGTATCTTCTTTCTCTCCTACCCCTCACATAGTAAGACCATCAATAGTAATGCATATACTATCAAAATGTCTTTTGAAGCCTTCCTCTTCTGCCCTACTGCCACTCTTTAGCTCTGTTTAGCATCATTATACCTCTTTTGGATTACTGTAAGAGTCTTTCAACTGGTCATCCTGCTGGGCAAGACCTGCAGTCTCCACTGGAAGCCAAAATGCAGATCCGATAGTTCACCCCCATGATCAAAACCCTTCTGAGCCCTCAGGTTCTAAGTCCTTCCTTTCTTCGTCAGCACTAGTTCTCCCAATACTCTGTCTCCAATCTTACGTTGTTATTGTTATGTGCCGTCCAGTTGATTCCAACTCATAGCAACCCTATAGGATAGAATAGAACTGTCCCATAGGATTTCCAAGGCTGTAATTTTTACGGAAAGCAGACTGCCACATCTTTGTCCCTCGGAGCTGGAGTGGCTGGTGGATTTGAACTGCCCACTTTTTGGTTAGCAGCTGAGCGCTTAACCACTGCTCCACCAGGGCTCCTCCTCAATTATTAGACCTTTTATATTTAGACTTTGGCACATTCTCTTTCCTTCGTCTCCCTTCTTTTGTTTAGTTATCTCCTGTTCTTCCTTTTGTGTCTTCTTAGATGTCATTGTCTCAACTTGTATCTACACTGAAGGACTTTTTTTTTTTTTTAATCAGAATTCTATTTGTAACTTGGAGATCTCACTTACATTTCTGAAACATTTAATAGACTGCCCCAGGGGAAGCCCCTGCAGTTTATCTTCTCTTCTATACTAACCTTTCTGTACTTGGTGCTTTCTCTTCTCAAACTTGTTCTCCCACTGTTCCCCCACCCTCTTAGATTTTCCATTGTGATCTCAGGAGCACATATCCATGGTAAACAAACTCATGTAAGCCTTTAACCCAGCACTTCCTGTACTACATTCTGTAGAGTAAGTTGTGAAAAAGTGTTCCTGGGAAAAAGTGTTCTATGGTCCAAAGAGTTGGGAAGCCCTGTTCAGAGCTTTAATGTGCCTTGTGAATCTCTGAGTTGGAGGTGATGAGTGGATGTAGTGGATCATTTCCCACCCTAAATCTCATACAATGTTAACATAGTCACAGAACAGTGCTTCTGCCAACTAGTTTAAAGGAAACTTGGCTCTTAAAAAAATATTGAAGCCCTTTGAGTGGTAGTCACTTTTTCCTCCACCCCACAAAGCTCAGGGTGTGGAGATTGCTGGCAGCCCCTTCCTCCCCAGGACCACTTTTAGCCTGCTGCTTCTCCAGCTTCACATAAACCCTTCTTTGAGGCGCCTGTAATTCAGCTCTGCCAGATCCAGGTTTTTTCTCACATACTATTCCTGTCCACTGGTAGTGGCTGCCTTTCACACCATCTTGAGAAGGAATCCAAGGCTGGGTTCTGGTTCATCAGAAACACCTATACTGGTTGGTTAGTGATTGTTCTGTATGGACTCAGCCACTAGTATCATGTATCAGTTACCATCTCTGTGCTATTCTGTTGAGCACCGTTTGCCCCCTGTCACTTACGAATCTCCCTGTTGATTTTCTGTATTCTTTGAAGATCTCTTCACCCCAGCAAATCTCAGGATAATCCTAAGTGACTTCCCTGTCCATGTGGAAAACACCAAACATCATAGCCTCACTTTTTAAAAAACTTCCAGAACTTTAGTGACCCTCATCTCCAAGCTACTTTATATACCCATTCCCATGGCCACAGCTGAGACCTTGTCAAGTTCTGAAATCTCATATTCTTCCAATTATTTCATTTTTCTCTCTTCACTACTGCTGTTCTTAGCCCTTTTTGATATCTCGTATTCCTTGCTGCCTCTGTAATTTCCCAGCCCTCTCTTGGCATCTTTTCCTTTCCTACCTAATTTGCAACTCTGAACTTTTCTGATTAACATATTCTGTTCCTTCTTACAGTCTTATCTTTCCACTGAATCAATCCAGCAAAACCTCTACCTTGTATGCATGCTTATGCAGCCCTCTCTGCTGGTTCCTACACATGGGGAGCTGAGAACTGCCAAAGACAATCACACCACTTTGCAGAGTGTTGTACTGCACTAGAATTTCTAGGTGTTCAGTCTCTGTTGGGCCTTTACTTCTGTCTATTCATCCTTAAATGCTGCCCTCTTATTTCTATCACCAGCAATTCCAAGTCTACACTAGTTTTCTCAAACATTCTCTTTTCACCCCTATGCTCTCATTCTCTGCAGCACATCTTGTCTGTGTCTGCCTCAAAAAATCTTGTGACCATCAAACTTCCTTTTCCTTAACTTTGAGTCCCCTTTGAAGAACTTCTCTGAATTTTATATTCATTCTCAAATGCCTTTCCGCCAGTTGCAAGGGGCGAGGTGTCTACTGAATTGTTAAAACTCATCCTCCTGTGCTGTTGACCACATCCTCTCCCAATACCTTTAGGAAATTGCTTCATCAGCCACTTTCTTTTTTCAACTTTGCCCTCTCTACCAACCCCCTTTTCTCAGTTGTTACATGGGGTGGTTATGAGTCGAAAATCTACTCGACAACACCTAACAACAAAACAATACAGATTATTTACTCTTTTTCATCTGAGGAGAGGGGTAGCCACACCTTTGGGTTGTGTGAGGATTAAGTGGGAATGTGACCAGTCCAGCATAGTGCTTGACATAGTAATCAGTCAACAAGTGCCAGTTCTGATGGTGCTTATCACTAATGAGGAGAATATGGGAATTTACTTGGTCTGACTTTTTTCATTGAGAGGCTTAAACTGCTTGATCTACAAGTTTCCTTCCAGCTCTAAAAATTCTCTTTCTATAAACAGTGTTTCATATTTTGGACAGGTTCATATACCAAATATATGGGTATCCTTTGACATGTCACATTTGTAGACTTCAAAAAGTAGATAATTAGGTGATCATAACCTTACACCTTGAATAAAAACAATTTCAGGCTTTAGAATCATTTGTTTAGTGAGTTGAACTCTAATAAAGTGTGAAGAACAACTTAGCTCCACTAATCACTGTCGCACTATCTATACAAGAGCTAAGGCTGGAGGTAGAGAAGGAAGTTCTGAGGAGCTTTTTTAGAAGCATTAAAAGTGGAATAAAATCCAGCTCTTGAAACTAAACTTGTGGAAACACTACACTTTTTGCTAAATGTTGTTGTGTGCTGTCGAGTTGATTCTGACTCATAGCGACCCTACAGGACAGAGTAGAACTGCCCAATAGGGTTACCAAGGTTGTGCTCTTTTTGGAAGCAGACTGCCACATCTTTCTCCTGTGGAGTGGCTGGTAGGTTTGAACTGTCGAACTTTTGGTTAATAGCCGGGCGCTTAACCACTGCACCACCAGGGCTCCTTTTTTGCTAAACACAGGTCCTATTAAAATGTAATGCAACAAGATACCCCTTGAACTTGGAATTGAAGCTATTTCTGCAGGTCACTTTCAGCCAAGTAATAGATTGGCTTATAAAATGAACAGTATCAGTGGTGAGTAATGTGCTACCTTAAACAATTAACTATATGAGACCAAATGGTCAACAGTTACCCAGAAGCAAAGATGAGAAGGCAAGGAGTAGAAAGGAAGCTAGATCAATGGAAATAGAACAAACAGAATGGAAATAATAAGAATGCTGATTGATACATTGTAAAAATTATAAACAATGACATGGAACAATTTGTATAAAAATTGTTAAAGACAAACTTAATTTGCTATGTAAACTTTCACCTAAAACACAATAAAATGTTATTAAAAAAAAGAAATAATATGGAATGGAAAAACTATATAGTCAATGAATTAAAAAATATTAATTAATTAATCCATCCATTCATTCTCAAGCAAATATCTATTATGTGCCCATTATGTGCCAAACTCTCTGCTAGAAGTAAATCGGTGCTTAATGCCATTTAACATACCTCTCGGGCAATTTAACATGACGGAGGAGGCTGTTGGAATACGCCCCTTGAGAGGACTGGCAGCTGCCTGCTATGAAGATGGTATGTAAAAACCACGCCACTCAGTGGCTGCAAATATACTTTATTATGCTACAGGTAATATTCAAGAATGATAAGCAGTACCTTATTTATTACATATCTATCCATTTATCCTTTCCATAAATTTTAAAGAGGGGGTTTAATATCTTCCTATGTAGGAAACTCCAATGTTCATTATGCTACTTATTCATTGATGTAATGTTTGAATGAAGCTGTCTTTTGTGAAAACTGTTGAACAAAGCCCAGATTTCCATTTACAGCTGAATTGAGAAGAAAATTAAAAATGTACATTTACTTTGTGAACCACCTTAGTAGGTGGTTCCAGGAGATCAAAGTTGAGATAATCCAAAAGAACAAAAGCAAAATAACAGTGCTAAAAGCAAGTATCTTAAAGGATCATTTGCCTTGGGATCATTTACCCCCACTTATTTTAGTGGACACAGCACTGTGAGGCATCCCATGGCTTGGGCTTAGTTTTCAATTTTTTTTTGAAAAGAGACTGCAGATTAGGGTAAGGATAAGGCTTGGCAGAAAAGACTCCCCTAGGAAAAAAGAGGCCAAAACAAAAACCGAACCACTTGCAGTCGAGTCGATTTCTGACTCATGGTGACCCCACGTGGCAGAGGCTAATAAAACTGGAGTCTGAGATTGACTTCTTTTTTTTAATTTTTTTTTTATTGTACTTTAGATGAAGGTTTACAGAACAAATAATTTCTCATTAAACAGTCAGTACAGATATTCTTTTATGACATTGGTTAACAACCCCAGGACGTATCAACACTCTCCCTTCTCGACCTTGGAGGACCTTTTTTTTTTGGTGAAAATATACATAGCCAAAGATGTACCACTTCAAAAATTTTTACATGTACAATTCAGTGACATTGATTACGTTCTCCCAGTTGTGCTGCTATTCTCACTATCCTTTTCCAAATTATTCTATCACCATTACCTTCGACTCACTGCCCCCTAGGCTTCCCATCAAACCTTTTGAGTTGCTGTTGTCAATTTGATCTCACATAGATAATTCTTTTTTCTTTTTTGTGCTTTAGATGAAGGTTTACAGAATAGTTTCTCATTAAAGAGTTAGTACACATTTTGCCCTATGACAATGGTTAATGACTGAGATTGACTTCTCGTTGATACTTATAAACTACTTGGAAGAGGATACAGGATTAAAGTGAAGGGCAACTCAAGCACAAGAGCCTTCATTTTTAAGTTCCCAGGAAGCACCAACTGAGTCTTCTTCCTGGTGTACCATACTTCAAACAAACAAACACACAAACCTGTTGTCGTCTAGAACTGCCCCATTGGGTTTCCAGGGAACGATTGGTGGATTCTAACTGCTGACCTTTTGGTTAGCAGCTGAGTTCTTAACCACTGTGCCACCAGGGCTCCACTTAGGGACATTTGAAAAAGAATTAGCAAACAGTCCCTGTAATGCAACATTAAAAAACCACAATAAAAATAGGTCAATAAATGAGGATAATATGTTGGCTGTATTTTTAGGGCAGGAGGGTGTCAGAAGCATGTCTGAGGAGGCTTTGAGGAAGAGGGCACATGATCTATTGAATCCCATCGCTAATGGGGGGAGGGGAATGTCAGATTTTGTGTGTGTCATCATATTTATAACCTCTCTTTGATAAAAAGTGCATTTTAGTACCCATGAGAACACCAGGCTAGACAATCTAATTAGTCTATCTAATATAGTTTTAAAACTATCCAGAGGGTCAAAGGAAATCTGTTAAAAACAACAAACAAGCATGCAAGCAAGCAAACTCACACCATTGCATTCTTAAATATCAGAGTGTCACTTTTATTACGAGTAAAATATCAAGAAATGTGCAGTTGTTTGGGTTTCTAAATATCCTTCCTTTTTTAAATTAAATTAATTGTAATATTTCAAGAAGAGAAAGAATAGCAACTGATATGTTAGGAAAAAAAAATTATAGCACTCTACTGATTTCAGGGTATTCAATGATGTATCAATTATTGATATGCACTGCAGTCAACACGCCAAAGACTCATATCCCTCCAAGTATTTAACAGAGAACTGAATACAGTCAAAGCAGAACTAGGAGCTGTACCAAAGAGTTAATAAATGTGTCCCTTTGAACATTGAACAGAGGCAATATATTTCAGTGTAAAGTCTTTGGGCAAGTTATTGAAACTGGATGTGCTCTACAAATGATAGCTATTATTTGATTTTTAGTTCAAGCAATCTAAAAATTCTGTTCTAAGACAGATTCTTAATTTTTTTCTTACCCAAATAACTTGTATATTTTAAAATATAGGTAATATACAAGAGGTTCTAGTTTAATGAAATCTGTCTGAAGTTTTCAAACGTGATTTTTATAACTAAAAAAATAATGTAACAGTAAGGATTTATTCTGTATTTGACATCACTCTTGTCATTATAAAAATCATAGATGTGCACTTGTTACAAATCTTGGGATTTCTGGTATTCATACCGATCACATTTTGTTCCTGATAGAAAAATGGATGGGGTGAGAAAGATGGAAACAAAACAATTTTTGGAATGGCCCGGAGGTTATTTTCCCTTCTATATTCCAAATTTCGGTTTGTTTAAGGAAATAAACAAATCAGAATTCCTTTCAGTATTCATTCCACAGTTAATGTTAATACTTAGTTTTTACATTGCAGTTATCACTTAACATGGAAGAAGATGAGTTCTTTGGTGAAAAAACATTCCAGCATTATTGTGCAGAATTCATTAAACATTCACAGCAGATAGGTGATGGTTGGGAATGGAAAATTTCAAAGGTAAGAACAGAAATTTTTGTTTCTTTATTTAAATGGAGGTTTTGGTGATTTTTGTTGTTTGTTTTTTGCTATGTAAAACCTCAGTAATTGAAACTAATGTGTGAAAGCTAGTTTGATTTAGTAAAAGGCCTGAATTGAAGAATGTTTTAAAACAGATGTCTGTTTTATTAGTTCAGCTATATATACTCAGTATAATTAGACTAATGAAGTGTTATCTAGAAAGGTCCTTAGGTGACCTGTTTTAATTTAATAGATAAGAATGCTTAGCATATTAATTATCTGAATGTAAACAGATGCTTCTGTGGTGCTTCAAGCCATTTGTTTATACTACTGATTTTCTTAGGAAACTGCTTTTGTCCAGAGAGTGAAAAGATAATCCTGAAGCCAAACCATAGTCAAACAATCACAAATTCTGAAATATTGAGGACTGTGTTAATTGGGAATATCTTAATAATGTAGATACATTCCAAAACATTTTTGTTTCTCTTCAGTAATAATAATGCAAAACTCCTATGTACTCTTATTTCCATACATAGAATTAGTAAGGTTCTCTGCCAAAAGCTTCTTAAGAGTTCCTTGAAATCCCTTTCTTAGAGAATAACTAAGTTTTCTCTGCTTGACATTTTATCTGATTCCCGAAAGAGTGATAAATCCCGATTCTCTGCTGATTGGTTCTGTTTCCTAAAAGCACTCAGAGATTTCAGTAGTTCTGGCCTGATTCTCATGATTCAGGAAGATGCGAGTTTTGATCAAGTTCAGAATGTCACTGGGGAGAGAAAATGTGACTTCCTCTTGGGTCATCTTCTGGCTAAGGTTAGACAGGGTGGCTCATGGGCTGGTTCAGAGATGTAGGGTTATTCTCTCATGGTAGATTCCAGCCCTACTCTCTAAATTAGTGACTGGACAGTCCATCAGCCCCTAGGGAGTCTTCTGGTCTAGGATAGCATGCTCTTACTAGTACCTTTTATTAAGTTTGTTCCTGAGTATTTTATAATTTTCTTTGATATTGTGTTTGGGATTTTCATTTATCCTATTTCTTCTGTGGTTATTGCTGATATATAAAAGAGTGGTTAATTTTTGTATATTAGTTGTGTAACCATTCAGTTACTGTTATGGATTGAATTGTGTCCCCCAAAAATGTGTGTCAGCTTTGCTAGGCCATGATTCCCAGTATTGTGTGATTGGCCACCATTTTGTGATCTGATGTGATTATCCTACATATTGTAAATCCTTAACCTCATGATGTTAATGAGGCAGGATTAGAGGCAGTTATGTTAATGAGGCAGGACTCAATCTACAGGATCAGGTTGTATCTTGAGTCAATCTCTTTTGAGATATAAAAGAGAGAATCAAGCAGAGAAGATAGGGACCTCATACCACCAAGAATGAAGAACCAGAAGGGGAGCGTGTCTTTGGACCCACGGTCCCTGCACTGAGAAGCTCCTAGACCAGGGGAAGATTGATGACAAGGACCTTCCGCCAGAGATTAAAGCTCCTTCCCTTGGAGCTGGCACCCTGAATTCAGACTTCTAGCGTCCTAGACTGTGAAAAAATAAATTTCTCTTTGCTAAAGCCATCCACTTGTGATATTTCTGTTATAGCAGCACTGGATAACTAAGACAGTTACCTTACTGAATTCTTCTATTAGTTTTTATAGTTTTTCAGTGGTTTCTCTTGGGTCTTCTAGGTATAGTGATGTCACCTACAAATGAAGAGTTTTTATGTTGTGTTCTTTAGGATATTTCTAGTATTTTATGCATCAACTAGAAAATGTTAAGGCTCCCTGTGTGGTGCAAATGGTTAAGCACTCATCTACTAGCTGAAAGGTTGGCAGTTCAAACCCACCTAGAGGAGCATCAGAAGATAGGCCTGGTGATCTGCTTCCAAAAGGTCACAGCCTTGAAAACCCTGTGGAGCAGTTGTCTGCACGCATGGAGTCTCCCTGAGTCCAAATCAACTCAGCAGCAACAGAAAATGACAAGTACTTGTGATAACAGGTCTCTTTGTCTTGAACCTGATTTTTAATATTATTGCATCAGGCGTAGAATGACCACAATAATTTTTGTGGTTATTGTATTGTAAGGCTTAAAATTTCAAGTGCTGCCTTAACATCTTTGACCTTCACAGAGCCCCAAAGGCCTAACCATGAGTTCCACTGTTCTTTGCCAGATACGCCCCCTACCCAGTGGAAAAGGCTCCCCACGTAGCTAGTTTCCCTATTAGAACTTTGAGGGGCTGGAAATGTTATGTGTGAAGGAACAGAGAATTATCCTGCCTAGATACCAATAGCATCTAGCCCCACTGACAAATACTGATTTAGAAGTATTCACCTTATTCTGCTTAGCTGCAGAAGAGCTGTTATGAAGATTCAATATATGCAAAGTATGCTTAGCTCAAAGCTTAATACATACTTCTCTCAATAAATAGCAGTGATTGTTAACTGTTTTTATTATCACATGGTTGTTCATTTAAAGTGCTTGGCATAGTACATGTTAGATACCATTGTAGAAAATTAGGCAAATACTCAACATTGTAAA